TGAAAACTGCCTTTCATAAGGGGTTCTCTCTGACATGTCTGAAGAAAGCGTGCCCTCTAGTGTCAAAGTGTAAGCCACCAGCCAAAAGCAAAACAAATAATAGAGGAGTAAAAGAGGGTATGGTCACATTCATTTTTAACTGTGGATAAATCTGCCAGCACAGGAGTAACAAATTTCCATTAAGTTATTGGGGGAAAAAACCGGGAATCTACTTACATGACGCCTACCTGATTGGAAAATTTGTCCCACACCAGCTGAACCACAGATCCCTATACCGTTGTTTCCTCTATTACAATTCCACGCAGTAACTTTACTAGATTACAGAGGCTTGTCTCCAGAAAGTCAGGGTCCAAACTGCTTTTCTACCCACAGCAAAATCTATAAACGCTTCCTCTTCAAATGATGGTGGAAGAGTAATCAGAAAGCAAAAAGCACGTTTTTGCCTCTTCACACTTCCACAGTCATAATTCTCTGATTTCCTTCAGTAACTCTGTGGTGGTGGCATTGATGGTTTATGTACAATTCAGGGTTTTGAAAATGATAGGTCCCATCACAAATATGAATGGTATGTACAGGTTTTGTAGACATAATTTTGCAAAACATTCAGCCAAATACTGACCATAATCAAATAAAATGAAGTTGTACCAGACAGCCATCAGATGCCCCTTCCAACCTACAGCATGCTATGATCTTACTTATTATTCTCTTAAAGTCCAAGAGAGAGGCGGAAGCATCTGAGATTAGCTTAATGAAGTGTCAGATAGCTTCCATGCAGGTTGTTGGCTTACAGATCCCCCCCCTTTCCCAGTTCATTATGTGGTCAGAAATTGACAAACTGTGTTATAAAATAATATTCCATCACTTCATGGTGAAACAACACAATTACAACGTTCAACAATCACTGCACAGATATAACTGTTTTCTCTGGTACAGTGTTACAAAGGATGGAATGAATGGCCCAACAGTTCTCTGACTACATTTTCGGACCCTTGGCTGTTTGTTGTAGATAATACCTTATGCTAAGGCACACAATGCTTATCCCAAATGAAATTCAAGACTATCTGATTCCTCTTAGCATACCACCTGTCCATGGCAAAGACATGCAAAAGATGCAGACAGAAGGTAGAAATTTCAAATACCGTAGGCCTGCCTCTAGACAGAAGAGCCAACAAACTAAAGCATTCTGCCGAGTACGAGGAACTACTTTTTTCAGTCCGTAACTAGATAATAAGGGTGTCAAGACTGACACGCATCAGCAGAAAACGTAGAGCTAACAGTAAAATAGAGTAAGTCAAGGAAGCCCTGCATTCAAACTTGAACTCCTGTTGGAGGCCTGAAAGCCAGTTTATAGCACAAACTGAAATATTACTTAATTCCAGGCTGTAAAGAGCAAGAAAAGCTAACAGACATTGCAAAAATCACATTTCCTGTGCAACAAAGAGTATGTTTCACCAGCATGTTCAACCATTTGGTGTGAATGTCTTTGGCACTAACTAGAGCTTTTGTCTCCCCATCTAGAATACTCCACCCAGTGCAACGCTCCTGGGATACATGGTGCCATACATAACGTCAGCAGCTGACTGTCTCAACATACCAGAAAGCAGGGTGTGCAAGCTAAGACAAGTTAGCAGTTACAGCATCTGGGAAAAGCACAGGCCTGTGTCAGAGAAGCAACCGTGCAACTGTATCTGACCATTTGTGATTCTGCACAGAGACAGCGCAGTGAAGAATCAATCAAAACACAATTACGGCTCCCCAGCTAATCCTCAAACCTACCCTGTTCTTTCATTAACTTGGGCAATGTAGCTACCATATTACGACATTCCAACGAAAAGACTGAAGTTCAAATGTCAACATGATGTACCACGATAGTGTCTTTCTCTGGCAGCCAGGATGTTATGGGCTGAAATGCGCAAGTACAAGATAAATATCTGTGCAGAAACAGGTCAGACAAGGCCCTGAATGTACAAAAGAATATTTTAAGTGCTAAAACCAGATGTAGCTTATTGGTGATATGATTGAGGAACAATATAAATCATACAAGCTTGTCCAAATGAACTGATGACTGCTGCCCTTGCTGTAGCCCTTGCTAATTTTCAATGACCACCAAGTGACAATGTATCTTCTTTTAATTCTTTCATTCTGTGACTCTTTTTACAAAGAGTTGACAACACATAAGCTTGGTTCATGTGGAATTTGTTGGCTGTAAAGTGTTTGACACCCCCATACTTCCTCTAGATAAGCTTCTTTTCATAAGGAAAAAGGCAAAGTAAATACATGCATAGACCATACCTTGCGCTTGATGTTTTCCAATAAATGTGCCTTCCCTTGCTTGAAGAATGCATGCTGGAATTCAATGACTGAGCTTTTCTCTGCTGTAATCATACCATTCTCCAGAGCAATCACCTTCCTGAAACCATCTGTGGAGAGGGATTAAAAAAAAAAGACAAGTCATTTCTTTCAGTGTAAAGCTTACTGCTATAGAACATAGCTAAAGAAAACCCCAGAACTACTGAAATACCTACAGCTATACAGTTAATAGGTGCTGGAACTTTTGGTGTTCAGTCATTTCACTGCTCCGATTGTCACAGACAGGAGACACATCTACAATGCCACCCAATAATCTTGTAGGCTGTACAAGCAGCATGCATGGCAGAGGCTTTCCAGTATCCAACGGCAAGACAATAATGTTCAAATAATCACAGAAGACAGTCAAAAGTGAGATTTATTAGGACATTACAACTAAAATATATCGTTGCACCTCTCCTTTCATGTTAACAATCTCAGGCAACTACATATCAAAACAAATGCTGTCATCTACCACCAGGGTCTACAGAACAATGCAAGGAGAAATTAGCCCTCAACCTATGGAAACATATGTAGTACCTTTTTCATTAAAGACTACCTGCTTGAAATACAACATTGCCAGCCCAATTTCCACAGTGGCTTGAAATACCAAAGGGTAGATGCAAATTAGTTGACAGACCAATGCATCTCTCTCCTCGTGCAAGTTTTTAACACGGTTAACGTATTCCAGCCTCACTGCACCTCAACAGCACGCTCATTAGAAAACTTCAATCAAAGCTGAGGATAAGTGCAGCAGGAAAATGATGTGGCCATCAGTCCAATAAGGATGTGAAGAGTAAGCATTCAGGACAGCATTGTAAGCGTTCAGCCTTACCATAAGGTAACTGACAACTGTTTGTTTGCACTCTCCTTTGCCACACAAGTATGGAATCTCAACTCTTAACTCAAACAGCAGCACAAGGATACTATATGACCACTTTCTCTGTCATGTCTAACACAGAATCTGAATAGACATTGGCTAAGAGAGACCAAGGAAATCTGGGCAAGAACAGAGTTCCTCCAAATCTTCTCAACAACTCCCTGTAAGCCACTGTTACTATTATCAACCCATTGCCGTTAATTAGCTTTCTTTGCCAACGCTACATGATGAATTCTATCATTCTGTTTCATTGGAGCCAAATATGCTTCTAACATTATGAAATAGGAAGATTTTTTTAAAAAAGAAGTATTTGTACTGAACAGAGTAAAGGCATGCAGACTATTTACAGCTTGTAGTTTGGTGTCACCACTTAGCTCCCAAATAGTTACAGTTCACGGGAGAAACACAGGCAGATGCAGAACATCTTTCAGATCCTCTCCTTTCCCGAAAAGGATTTACTTAATGGCTTAACCCTCTTCCTCCAAATGAAAATTCTAAACGAGGCAGCTTTTTTCTGTACAGCTTATATCTTTACATGGCCCATAAACTATCAGCTCCAAAGCAACCACTTCTGCTGTGCTGCAGCCCTGCACAGTGTTGGATTGCCACCTCACTCCAGCTTCTTTGCCTGTACAAGTTATAGGGTATCCATTATGTAACATGCCTATGACGCTCACAAGTAGAGCACAGAGAACATAACTGAGGGATTTAGTCCAGCTTGATCCATCAGGGTGACAATCTTTTTTCAGTACAGCAACGCAGGCAGCATGCATACACACATTACGCAAACAGACGATGCTTACACATGTTCAGCTGTCGTATGAAACTGGAGATGTTGTTGTGTTTGAAGTACTTCGGGAGCAGCTCCTTAGCAAACCTCTGCTCATCCAGTATACAGAAGTTCTCGCCATTCTAGGAAGCAAGCAGAAGTAACAGTGAGAGAACAAGCACAGCATTTTTAAGGTTTTGCTTTTATGCCAAGACCATAATCTGATGGAAACGGTTCCTATGACATGGAAGGGCAAAACACTTGGCGAAAGGGAACTGTCTGTGTGGTCATTTATGAGCACTGGGGACTGTACTAACAAGTTTGAATCCTAAACAACAGAAATTGTTACGTGGAACACTCCTCTTGCATAGCGGGTAGTTTTTTGAACCCTGAAGACTTTACCCTAAGCCAAAGAAAAGTAACAGAAAAAAGAAAAAAGGCAAGAAATGGCAACCATGGCTCTGCTTCTGTCTCAGTTCAGAGGAAACTGAGATATTGCTCACGCACCAGGGCATTCGTGCCACTAGAGGGCTTTTATCTCCGCCGGCCGGAGCCGGGCCAGCTCCTGACACGGTTCTCGCATTGTACGCGCTGTGTCACCGCTAAAAATAGCCCGGTAACGCTGCGGAGCCGCTACGGGCCCGGCCCGGCCCGGCGGGGAGGCTCCGGCCCGGCCCCAGCCCCGCTGCGCTCCCGGCTCCCAGCGCCCCGGGCCCGGGCCGGTGCCGGCGCTGCTCGGGAAGCCCGGGGACGAGGCAGAGCGGCGCGGCCGAGCAGCACGGCCTGGGGACAGCGGCGAGGACGGGCCGCAGGCCGGGAAGCGGCACGGAACGGCCCCGGGGCAGGCGCCCGGCGAGGCCGGTCCTGCGGGACGGGGAGGGCCGGCCCCGGGCTCCGCTCCGCTCCTCAGCGCACAGCGGGGACCGGCCCCCGGGGCGCCGCGCTCCGCTGGCCCGGCCCGGCCCGGGGAGCCCCTGGGGCCCCTCGCGGCCCCCGCCCGTGCTCACCCTGCTCCAGCAGATGACGTCGTCGCTCTGCGGGTCCTCCACCAGCGCCCAGAGCTTGGCCAGGAAGCCGGGCACCGCGGCGGCGCCGGGGCCGCCGGGCAGCGCCGACCCCTCCCGCATGCTGGGGGCTGCGGCCGGGCCGGGCCGGGCGCTGCTGCTGCTGCTGCGGGCGGACCGGGCCGCGCCGGGCCGGGCGGAGCCCCCGGCGGCCGCCGTGACGCGCACCGCGAGGGGCGGGGCCTCGGGGCGCAGCGAGGCCGCCCATTGGTGCGCGCCCCGTGGCCCCGCCCCTCCCCGCGCCGCGAGCGTGCCGCTTGTTGTGCTCCCGGGGGAGCCCCGTGCGCGGGGCCGGCGGCGTCACCGGGCGCCCTTAAAGGGGCCGCGTCCCGGTCCCGGTCCCGGTCCCGCAGGGCTGGTGCCGCCCCGGGGGGACGGGCGGGGCGGCCCCGGGGGCGCGGCGGGCGCTAGTCACCGCGGCCGGCCCCCGGAGGCGGCTCGTGTGCCCCCGGCCCCAGCCCCGCGGCCGCCGCCCCCCCGCGGCGAGGCGTCGCCCCGCTTTACGGCCCAGACTTTGTCCCCGGCGGCGCTCGGTGCGTGCCGGGCAGCTCGCGGTGCTGGGGAATGGCTCCCAGCTGACGGCGCCGCGTCGGGACCCGCACCTGCCCCGCTCCAAAAAGTAAGGGGGAGGGGCCGGGGGGGTCGGGGCGCCGCGCGCGTGTCCCCCCGGGCAGTGCCTGTCCCCGGGGCAACGTCGGGGGCGAGCCCGGGGCGCGGGAGGCGGAATGAATGCGCCTGGAACGGGGCTGAGCGGCCGGCAGCGTGCGGAGCTCGGGGCTTGCCGTTTGCTTGCCCCTCCGGTTGCGTTGAGGGGTCGGCAGCAGCAGCGCCTGGCAGCGGAGGCGGTGCTGTGAAACGTCGAGGTTCGTTGAGCAGAACACACCGTTTGGGGTTTTTTGGTTTCTTGTCACAGGATTTCAATGAAAAATGAACTTTTGGGGAAAGGACGTAAAGGTTACTGGTGCTGTTCGCCTCCATTAGCAGAGTGCTGAGGAGATGCTGTGGGGACGGAGCCAGCCCAGCCCGGGTCCCTGGTTGGTGAGGCTGTGCCGCTTCCCGGCCGTGCCCGGGCTCGGGACGGGACGGCCGCAAAGCCCCGTTCTGCTGTCGGGAAGGTTCCTCCTTGACTTCGCTCAACGCCAGAGCGAATTCGCACGGCGTTTAGGCTGCCGCGGCTTCTGGTCATGTTTATCAGATACAGGCTGCGGTGATGCAGCGCTGAGCTTTAACGCGGGAGGCAGGGGCTCGGGCACGGACAAACCGCGGGCTGACAGCCGGGGCTTGGCGGCGGGCAGGCTTCGTGGCCAGCTCCAAGAGGCACCGCTCGGCCTCGGTACGCAGCCTAAGCTTTGCCCTCTGCTAGGATCAGATACCGCTGTCACAGCCGGTAAGATCACAGACCGTAACCATCAGCCCGCACCGAGTGCCCGGTCTCAGCGGCGCCCGGCCCCAGCTCGCTCTCCCTGGCGCTGGCTGCGGGTCGCAGCTCCCCGAGCCCAGCCCTTGGGGTGCCGAGCACCGGGGGCAGCCGCAGGGCCGGGCCGGGGGCGGCGGGCAGCGAGCGGCCGCGGGATGCGGGGTCTGCCCTGCCCCGCTGCTTCCCCGCGGCACGGGGCCGTTCAGGTGCTGGGAACCTGGCGCTGCCCCCCTGAGGGGCTCACGGGCAGAGCTGCTGCGGGGGGGCCGAGCCGTGCGGGGGGGCGGAGGTGCCTCGGATCCAGGGAAGGAGGGAAGGAGCTGTTTCCAAGCGGAGAGACGCTTTCTTTCAACTTCTAAATTTAATGCATGCGTGGAACCAGTAATACTGTATGATAATTAGCTTTTGAGAATAGGACAGCACGTTTGGAAATCACAGAATTGCGGGTTGGAAGTGATGTGAGGAGGTGTCCTGTCCATTGCCGTGTACTGGGGTCCAATCCAATGTATTGGGCATCAGGTCTGGTAAGAGATTTCACAGCTTCCCTGGGAAAGCCTGTTGTGTGTGATGCCGTGCTAGCCAAAGCCTTACAGAATATCTACTTTTGCCACAAATAAAACTCCAATTCATGTTGTTATTACCAAAGACGGGAGAATAAATAATGACAAACCTCTTTATAAAAGCAAACAAAACCCTGTCTGCTTGGTGTGCTGCTATGTCACCATCCCCTTCTTTTTGGAGTTCAAGAAAGCCGATTACCTTAAATATCCTTGATAGATCGCATTTTTCTTATTCTCACATTTCCTGTTTCTCTCTGCTGAACTTTTTCAAAGTTGCTTTTATGTGTATAAAGAGCTGGACATATATTTTAGATGTCAGTTTGGTTATTGGCTGCATCCAGCTTTAAGTACATCAACAGATGAGATCTTTCTTAAGCATTTTCATGTGATTTGTGTTTATTTTCTCATCCATTTTATTCACAAGCTATTTTTTATCCTCTGGTGTAATTCTACTCCTCCATATTGCATCAGTTTCTTCTTCGTGCAGGTAGTTCTTCACTGAGGTAAAATATTGTGAATACTGGTTCAATTTCATAAAATTTCTGCAACTTGCATTGGATCTCTCTTCAGAATGTTTCTCATGCATACACCAAGCTTGTTGTCAATCACAGCTTTTATGAGTAAGGTCCTTACTTCACGATCTAGATTGTGGAGAAAATAGTTAATATAAGAGCAATCTTGAAAAAAGTTAAAATTTACAATTACTTCATAGTTACTAAGTCATACTTCTCAGGTGGCTTAGTTGAGCAGAGGGATATAGGCAACAGTTAACAATCAAGTTTCTTGTGCAGGATTATTTTCTTTTGCCTTGTATGCAGACCTTCAAGATGATTTGGGACATTGGTATTGGTGAAAAACTGATCACTTTAAATTCCACTGCCTGTGGCACATTCTGCTCAGGACCCCCAGGCCTTAAGATGGTTGCACAGCATAGGTATTTATGGCTGCCTGCTCTGCTAACAAGCACCTGTGACTGTTCACCTTATCCCCTACTGAGTGAAATCTTGCCAAGTTAGCGGTACAACATTATGAAACATGTAATGTGGCCAAATTGTTCAGAAGACAAAGCAATAAGTTAAACTGTTATGAGAGAAGCACGGTTTACTGGCATAAACTCCATTCACCTTGTGTGTTACGGGGATGATTTCCTTGTTGTCTCAGACCCATGGATATTTAATGACCACAGCAGGACTTCTACCTGATGTCCTCACACCCTCTCAAAATATCCAGTAGTTTCAAACCAGCTTATTTAGGATAAAGTTACGAGGTCATTCTGCTTCTGTTTTACTAGGTTTGTTTTTCCTTTTCTCCCAAATAGGCTTATCCTCCAAAGTATTCACTTCTGGCCACAATGGAATTGTTCTGGTTGTTGCTGTTTTGCATCCATTTGCCAACACCCACGTCTGCTGGAGGCATCACCCGAGTCTATTACCTGGGGATCCGTGAGGTGGACTGGAACTATGCTCCGACGGGAAAGAACATGTTCAGTAATCAAAGCATTGCACATAGCCTGTATGTTTTGCTCTGTAAGAACTGAGTCTGGTTAAAGTCTGCTTGCTTAAACTAGTAATTTTCTGGGTAACTTCATGCAAGTATGCTGGGGCATCTAAGCAAGCAAGAGACAGGATTAAGTGTCTGGTCTTTATGAGCTTAATGGTTAACTTGTTTTATTGTACGAAACTGTACCAGCGGGAAAAAGAATGGTCAATTTAATGGAGCATCCAGTGACCAATGCTGGTTATGCTAGAGGGAAGTACAAACACTATAATAGAACAGATTGTGCAATACTCTGCCCTGGGGTTTAATTTTTTGTAGTTCCAGCTGGAGATCAGCTTACTTATCCTGAAACATAATGAGTTTTCACCTTGATGAAAATGACTTAATGAAGCTGGCTTTTTTTTATGTAAATGGGATTTCAAGCCTTAGACTGGATGGAGCTTCGTGAGTGAAACCTTAGTTGTTTTTAAAATGTTTTTTTTTGGGGGGGAAAAGTAAATCTAGAAACTGCAGTAATTGCTTTGAGTCACAACAAAAACAGTTTTTGTTTGTGGTTTTCAAAACCCCAGGCATTTTTTCTGTTGTTGTTTTGTTTAGATTTTTTTGGTCTTGCTTTCCACAGCTTTTTTAAGATATTTGCGTTTTTTCCTTTTTCTATAAATTGTGTTTATTGGCTTGCTCTGTTGTTTATGCTCACATGCCATAATAAACCACAGAATAATACTTGGGGATTTCAACATTTTGTTTCAAAGTGACGCAACTGGACTAGGATGGGTTCAAAGGAAAAACAAGGGCCACCGGTTTAGCATGAGAAATTCCCCATTCTCAGGAGATGCTGAATAGACTTAAAGTATTCACAGAAAAAGAAACTCCCCAAAATTCAGGCTAAATGAAGGTGTTTTCACCAATTCCTGCAGTGATAACAAATGCAGTGCTTTTTGTTTGCTTTCTCTCATAACACATGAAGAGAAGAAAATGAAGGTAATGGCTATTAAACTTGAAGTATTTAAATTGTCACTGCACACAATTAGTTATTGGGACTTGTACAATGACTGCAGAAGTCAAATTGCTAGCAGTAAGAAAATAATTTGATATGAATATTAGAATTGGTAAAATGCTTGAAGAATGTTTTGTTTGGAAGAAATGAACTATGTAGGGAAAGAGGCAGATATGCAAAAAAGTACAAATTGTCCATACACTTTGATAATAGTGGCTCCAGGGATGACCTCAGAAACATGAGCTTTAGATGGTGAGGGGCTGGGCTCTAGCTATACAATGAATGATGAAGGCAATGTTAATTGGTCTTTGCCTCCACTGTTCATCTTCTGGAGCAAGGTGTTGAGTTTCTCTGTTTCAGGATGTATGTTGCTGTAGGTTTCCGAGGGGGTGAGAGAAGTTACCTGAGCTCTCCCTCAGGCCTGTCCTACTCATACCTGTACCATGACTCATCTCTTATCTACTAAGACATAGTCATAAAGAGCAAATATGTTCCTGTGTTGAACTTTAGTACCTGTATGAGTTTTTAACTCTGAAAGCTGATTATGTGCAGGGTACATACCTGCCTGTCTTGTCTGTCATAATACAAGTAGCTAAGAGTACGTTGAGTCTAAAAGCATCTTTTAGTCTGGATTTTTGACAGAGAGCTCATGTGATTCTTTTTTTCATCCCTTCTTGTGGTCCAGCAGCAAACCCCACAAAGGTGTTGAGATAAGTTTCCAAAGGACCGACAAAGGTGGAAGCGGGAGTGGGAAGGGCTTTGGTCTTCCCACGTCACTTACCTGTGATTGTCAGAGAAGCACCATCTTTCTCATTCTTTGTTTGCACAGTTCAGGGGTGCACTTTGTCCTTTCATGACAAATGGAGGGTGAGGCCATGGCTTTGTGTATCAGCTGGAGTTTGGTATCTGACTGTACTTGTGGCCCTGGTTCCAGGCGCACCGAGGTATAAACTGGCCAGCGTCCTGTTATATTTCATGTGCTCCAAAGCAGACAGTTATATCACTCACTGTTTCGTGAATAGGTTGTGTTCTGTGTCACAGCAGCCATAGGTGGGAAGAGAAAGTTTGCTGCTGGTTTAGGGTGTGTTAGGGTAGAGCATGGGAGGTTCTCTGTGATGCTGAAAGCTTCAGGGCTTACCTGAGAAAGCTACGTGTCATCACTACTCTTGTGTTACCAACAAGCTGTTTTGTATAATGCATTTCTCATGGTGCCTTTCCCTTTTCTGAATTTAACAGAAGGGCCTCAATGTTCCTGCAGTCCTGGCAAAGACAGGGTGGGAAGCACATACAAGAAATCTGTGTACAAGCAATATACAGATGCCACCTACACCACTGAGATTCCCAAACCTGGCTGGCTGGGGTTTCTTGGGCCCATCATCCGAGCAGAAGTGGGGGATACCATTAAAGTACACCTAAAAAACTTTGCTAGTCGGCCGTATACAATCCATCCTCATGGTGTCTTCTACGAAAAGGACTCATGAAGGTAAATGAGCCGTTGCCATAATGGAGATGGATTTTTCCGGTTGGGAACTGAGGAGTATACGCTGAGGAGAAATGTCAGTAAAGAATCCACAGACTTGGTTAGCCCAGAGCTGTATGGCTGGAAAGCAAATGTATTTCAGTCTTAAGTCTCAATGTTTGGTTTGTAGGCATATGGGTCTGGGAGCAGTTTCCTGACTTGGACATTAAAGTACACAGTCCGGATTGCTTGATTTTTGTAGAGCTTCCAAGGCTTGCTAGTGGGAAAGTGGCATAGAAAATATTATATTTGTTGTTTAAAGTGCTGCAGTATGAAAGCCACGAGTGCGATAAGCTTCATTGAGCTTCACAGGAATGATAAAGTATGAGGCCAGAGAGCTACACATGGCCTTGTTGAAGGCCAAGCAGCAGGTAGGCAGAATGGCAATAACCTTTGAGCCTGTGCTGATCTGTTTGCTTGGCGTATTGATTTACAAGGGTTTTGTGACTCAGTTTCTCTTTAATGAATGACATTAAGTGCTATTTCAACCTTGGGATGCTGAGTCTTGATTTGAAAGCTGCTACCCAAGTATATGCACAGCTATCTACTGGGTGTGAGAGGCTCAGTATAAGGTTACATGTTTGGACATCTCTGCTCTTCTTGAATGGATGTTGTGATTGCTCAATTGTTCTAGGATCCCTGTATCCTGATATGTCCCCCCAGGATCAGAAGAAGGATGATGCTGTCCCCCCAGGAGGGAATTACACCTATACTTGGACTGTTCCTGAAGATCACAGCCCAACTGCTGATGATCCAAACTGCTTGACCTGGATCTACCACTCTCATATTGATGCACCAAAGGATATTGCATCTGGGTTAATTGGGCCGCTACTTACATGCAAAGAAGGTAAAAGTTCCCAGGGAAAGCAGCTGAGTTTCATTTTGTGAAGATTTTTGTGGTGACTTGGGTAAGGACAGGATGAGAAGATACTCCAGGAGGCAGCTCCCAACCTCATGGGAAAATGTGACATGACTGAAGAAGACAGTACCTGTGTTCTGGTTGGGTTCTGATCATTGCATTGTCTTTATCCTCTAGTGGCCAGGCAGCTGAGCTTGTAGGCTTCTTGATCTGAGAGGGCTGTTTAAATTCATGTTAGGAGGGGGAATCTTGCCTGATATCTAGTTTGTATATTAAAAAATTAGGGGTACTGTTTGATTTCAGCAGAAGTGAGAACACTGGAGTTGCAGTTCAGCCATGCGGAGCTGGAGCTGCATAGGATTGAGCCATATAGTAGCAGCAGTGTACTAGAAATGGATGCAATTGCTAGAACTCTGAAGTGAGCCATGCTAGAATGGTGGGGAAAGCATCTGTCTCTGACTTGTGTGATAAGAAGTTTTTCTTCTGTTGGTGTTTTAAACCCTTAAAACCAATGTTTGCTTTTCTGCATGGATGGGTAATCATTCGCCTTTTCTTTCACCCTAGGAATACTGACTGGCACTTCTCAAAGACGCCAGGATGTGGATGTTGATTTCTTTCTGATGTTCAGTGTGGTGGATGAGAACCTAAGCTGGTACTTGGATGAGAACATTGCGTCATTCTGCACAGATCCGGGCTCTGTAGACAAAGAAGATGAAGAGTTCCAAGAGAGCAACAAAATGCACGGTCAGTGTCATCTTTGTGAAGCTACTGACTTTGTCCAGATACTCTGGGTGTGCCAGTGCTCTAGTATCTTGAAATGCGCATCTGCCATTGTATACCAGGCTGCAGGTAGAGGGAAAAAGGGTAGTAGAAAGCTGTGAGATCACGTGCTAAGCAAACAATGTCACAGGGACAGTGCAGCAACTCCAGGGGAAAACATGTTATTTTGATCTAATCTTTGGCTTGAGTGAGCCTTTCTTAGTTGTTTGGAGATTCTGAATGTGCTTCATGTTAGGAAATGACTTCTGAAACTGAGCTCTCCAGAAGAAGAGTATGAGTTCTGGGTAGGTCTGTCCTTCAAACCTGTCTGTATTGTCAGCTGCAGGCACAAGCTCTGAAGGCACTTCTTCTGATCTCTGATTTTTGACTTGTTTGTTTTTCCAGCTATTAATGGCTTTGTGTTTGGGAATCTCCCTATGTTGACGATGTGTGCTGGGGATCACATTTCATGGCATCTCTTTGGAATGGGCAATGAAATCGATGTTCATACAGCCTACTTCCATGGAGAAACACTCAACATTCGAGGCCACAGGACAGATGTGGCCAGCCTTTTCCCAGCCACTTTTGTTGCAGCAGACATGATCCCCAGTAACCCTGGGAGATGGCTCCTGAGCTGTCAGCTCAATGATCACATAGAAGGTAAGACAGACACTGGAACGTGTTCCACACAGTGGCCTCCCTTTTTTCTCCCAGTGTGGTCTTGTGATGCACTTTGTGGTAGGGGACAGTGCCTTGGGCAGCATTCCCATTAAAAATGTCCATAGTTGAATGGGTGATTCCTTGTCTTGTATAAATCGTGGTGGGTTAGTTATTAATATATATGCTAAGCTTACCAGGGGTGACTTATAATGATGTTCTGTGTTGGTCACTGATGAACAGTGGCACAGCTGAAACTTAAAATGAGGCAGTGCCCTAAGAACAGTAGTCCCTGTAAGAGGCCCTGGCATGGTACATCTGAGGAGAGAAGGGTGTGTTTGCTCTCTGTCTATCCTTATCTAGCGTCTAATACTTAAGGTAAGAAGCTCTGCTTACCAGCAGAAAAAATCCTTTCTGTGGGAAATCACCTTCTAATCACCTTCAAATCATTCTTCTAATCACCTCCCAGCCATGTACCTTTGGGGACAACAGAAAAGGAATGGCTGGTTTGTGGTAGGAAGGTGGGACTGTTTGCTGGTTGAGAGGCATTAAGCCTGTGTGTCCTCCACCATGTCTTGGGCAGCTGGGATGGGGGCTTTCTACGAAGTCCGGCCCTGTTCTCAGCAAGCTCTGGAACCTGCCCTGAAGGGGAAAGTTCGGAAATACTACATAGCTGCAAAGGAAGTGCAGTGGGACTATGGACCTTCAGGACATGACCAAAGCAGCGGGAAACAGCTGAGTGAGGCAGGCAGGTAAGCAAAAGGCTGATGGGGGTTTCTAGTATGAAAGGAGGCTGCTGAAGAAAATGTGGGATTTCCTTCTTAGCAAACGACATGTCTGCAATTCACATGGATTAGCCCAACTAAAAATGTCAGCTGCTGTAGCTGGACTGTACCAAAAGCAGTACTAGGTATCTCAGGGTACTTCACTTGGAAGTGTGCTGCTGTGTTTTGTGGCCTTACCTGCAGACTCCGAGAGTCCCAGTTTATGTAGAACATGAGCTGCTGCTTTTTTCTCTGGGCTTCATTTCTGCTTGGTGTGCCTGACCTAGGAAGAAATCCACAGATCTGATAAGCTACTAAGCAAGTGCATTTTGCAGTAGACACAGGGTGGCAGAGCTAGTCTGCGGATATGCTTCAGTGTAGCCTTGCTGCAGCAAGCAATTTCTAGGAAATTAAGTGCAGTGACCTCCATGACAGCTTTCCATTCCGTGTGTCAAATGATTGTGGTATCAGTGGTTTCTGAAACTGAAACAAAGGCATGCCTCCCTCTCCCTTCCCTCCCCTGGGAGGCTGTTGGAGACTGAAGAAGTAGAAATGCAGAGAGGTTAATGATTTATCCAAAACCATGCAGCAACTCTTCCAGACCATAGAACTGCAAGCTATCTAGACCCGTGACTTGTCCTTGTAACTAAGCTGCCTTTCCTGCAAGGCAGGTTACATCTGTCTGTGGTGGAGAGGGTGGTGGCAAAGGAAATAAATCCCTCCTTACAGCTGTCGTGTGTTTACAGTTATGACTGTGGTTGTCCCCTGGGCTGTGTTGTCTTCCCATTTACTGCATTGCCCTCTTTTGCATATCGTACAGAGAGATGCTGTTCAGACCTGTGCCTTTGAACCTGGTTGTTTCAGCTGGGAGAGGTCCCTGTGCCAGCAGTGCTCGCTGAACACAGCTGACTTGAGTCTGGAGGGTGAAAATGCTTCACAGTGATGAGCTCTGCTTATTCTAAACCAGAGATGCTCCCCTTGTCTGAGAAAGCTGCTTAATTTGCAGATGCTGCTGGCATTGCCAGAGGGGCATGTTGTAGGAGAGGAAGCAGGAGAAAAGGACTGATTTCCATAAAAATAACCTGGCATTTGCTTTTTGCCTTTAGCCCTGCTGAGAAGTTTTTCAAGCGTAGCCTCTACCGAATTGGGGGAGTCTATTGGAAGGCCAAGTATGTGGAATATACTGATGAGAGTTTCCGTGAGGAAAAGCAGCAGTCAGAAGAAGAAAAACACCTTGGCATACTCGGTAGGAATCACCCAGCAACACAAAGCCTCTTTCAGTGCCAGTGAGAACAATGGGCTGATGTCAGGAGTTAACTACTGCCTTTGTTTCTTGATGCAGTGAGGTGTTTTAAAGCAGTTACACTTAAGACTGAGGCGCACACGCCTAGGATGTGGATGGTAAAGCAGAGGGAGTTGCTTTTCTGCTGGGGCAGTCTTCAGAGGTCAGTAGTAAGGGCTGAGGGACACAGTGTAGTATTCGTGACAGTAATCAGAGCAACAGAGCAGTGTTTATAGACAGAGCTAAACAGGTCACAGCACTAGCCCCTAGTTTTATGCTTTTGACTACCTTCAAGGCACAGGTACAAACCCCACTTTCTCACAGAAAGCTTCCTCTCCCATGTGGGCTCTCTCCATTAGAGCCAGGTATCAGTGAGGGTGGTAAAGAAAGATGAGAGAAGAAAGTAGTCTTCAGAGGGAGTTGAATCGTGTATGAAGGCTGAGCCACACACAGGAGAAGTACATAGGTGTGGTCCAGTTCCCTGCATCAACAGTGACTAATAATCTAATGACACCAGAAATTAGCAACAGCAATACCCGGGGAGGCTACAGAAGGAAACAGCACATGGATTAATACACAAATCTGGGGGGAAAGAGACACAAGAAAGTATTAAGCAGCTGAATGTAAGTGAAGCGGTGGAATTATACATAGAATGGGAGATGCAGCCTAACTGTGAGTCTTGTTGGACCCTGGGAGCCAGGGAAAACAAAAGGACTGGTGTTGCCAGCAACAGCCTATAGGAAGACAAGTGAGGGAATTCTTGGATATGACTTCATACAAACAAATTACAGTTATTTTCTACTAAACTAAACACACTGAAAGAGCAGTCAATGAAAAAGTCTCTGGTCAGATAAATAAGCAACATCCACAGTGGGAGTTGCACGAACTTATTTGACCTGATCCCACATCTACCTCTGCTCTGAATCTTCTCCCATCAGCCCTGGATCCAAGGTGGCCCTGCTTTGTTTGGCTCATGTGGCTGTCCTGTGATTTGCTCTGCTGCTGACACTCACTCTCTGGTGTTTGTGTAGGTCCTGTGATAAAAGCTGAAGTTGGTGACACCATCCTGGTGACGTTTTTTAACAAAGCCTCCTGGCCGTTCAGCATCCAGCCTCATGGAGTGTCTTATGGGAAGGCATGGGAAGGGATGCGGTACCATGATGGTTTGTGGCTAACTTTTTTTTATTTAATTGTGCTGGGTCTTTCTGGGATGGAGCTAAATTTCCCTGCAGCAGCCCATATAGTGTTGTGCTCTGCACTTGCAGCAAGACCATAAATTAGTGCTATTCCTGGTGGTGGAGCTCCACAGCCTATGTCTCCTCCATGCTATGAAGTTCCTGCATCCAGGAGAGACTGGTTGTGCTCTGGAGCCTGCTTGGTCCTCTGAGCCTGCCTGAGGCCTCAGAAAAGGAGTCATTCTGCCAAGCTCATGCCCAGAGAGGGTGCCTGAGGGAACATGGTTCCAGAGGTGCTATTTTTGTGAATGAAACTGGTAAACCAAAGCTCAAACTATTTCTGGCTGTCTGAGACCCTAGTGAGCAGAGAAACACTCCCAATGCACTCCAGCTTAGGTAACCACACACTTCCAACATGCATCATCCTAGATGCAGCTGAATCTGTTTCGTTATTTGCTGTCACCATGCCCATCTCTGCCTTGGCACCAGGGAAGAATTTCAGTGATACTGAGAGCAGCTCTGTGTGCGCCCTCTGAATACTTCCACTTCTATCCTTGAGATGCCTGCTGTTTTAGTGACATGAATGAAAGCCGAGCGTGGATGTACCTGGTGAGAAGTTGCAACTAGTTTGTACAAGGACCTTGAGAATAACCACTCCAATCTCTGTTTTAAAGGTCTGTCCCAGCACGGGATTTCTGTTGCACCTCTACAGAACTTTACGTACAGATGGACTGTGCCAAAGCATGTTGGACCAACATCCAGTGACCCTCCCTGCCTGACCTGGATGTACAGCTCTGCTGTGGACCCTGTCAAAGACTCCAGTTCGGGCTTGGTAGGCCCTCTGGTCATCTGCAAGCCAGGCACTTTGGATGACAACAACAAACAGGTAAAAAGGATTTTCCTGTCGCACTGTTAGGAAACAGCCTGGCAGAGAGAGGAAACATCGGCAAACATTAGGGAACACAATGAAAATAAATCTGCAACAGTGTGAGTCCAGAGAGTCTAATTAAAGTCTGTTAACATCATGTTAACAACATGTTAACATCAGGGCACTTGTATGCCACAGTTCTGGTGGGAAAGGCTAGCATTCTGGACTCCTGGGGGCTGCCCTTGAAATAGTTTCTGGGCTTTGCTTTAAAACAAAGTACTTCCTTCAGAGGCATGTGAAATATTCATTGCAATCGCAAAAACACCAAAATAAAAACATCTTGAAATACTTGCAGATGAAAATCTACATGGTGTGCTTGAATGATAAGATGCTTTGAGGTTTGGGTGAGCCTTATTTATTCTGCAAGGTTGGCTCATTTTCAAGCATAGCCGACTACAAAAAAATAATATGAAAATCCATGTTGTTCTATAGATTTGATGAAAGATAGGTGAAATCTGAAGGGTGACCAGAATTTCCTCTTGGAATTTCATTCAGGGATGTTCTACTCATTGCAATAAATCTTGGGAAGAATCTAAATGAATATACCAGAGAAGTGCAAGATGTTAACAGACTTCTGCTGTGAAAAACAGTAGGTGGCAGAAAAATAGTCTACTGTCTTCCTACCTACCTAGCAGTTCAGATCAGGCAGTGGCTGAGAAATCTGAAAATAGCTTCTACTGAGCCTCCCTAGTGGAGTTTGCTTTCTGCCTGCTTTCACTGGTGGCATGATGTAGCTAAACTAAGAGTTCAGAGGAGATCAGCGTGTTCGTTAGGGTAGAACTTTGAATCTTCAGAGAGGATCATGAATATATAAAGTCCAATACATGAAGGAGCTGTGGTAATGATGAAACATTTACAGGTATTGAAAGGGAGTAAACAAAACAGACAGAAAGGTAGGACAGGGAAAAACCACCTGGGGTGGTGATTCTGGCTCCACAATATTAGGCAACCCTTTAATGAATGGTTAAGTGGGACAGGTGCACAGCCATTCTGCACATGCCTCTGTGCCCCACTGGAAAATGCTTAGCCCTCTCTGCAGGGTGTCCTCCTGGGTACAGCTAAGGAAGCTGATACAAAAACTGAGCATCTGGACAGCGCAAGCAATGTTCTGTTAATGGGGAAACTCACCATCCCGTGGGATGCATTTCTTAGGAGAATTAACATTTTTAAGATTTTAAGGTAATAAAAAAACAAAACAACAACAAAAAAAAATAAATTCAGGCCTGTGGTAGGAGGAAGGAGGGGTGGAACATAGTCATCAGCCTGCCCCAACAGCCAAATTCTGTTTTTAGGTCTGATATGGGTGGGTGGTAAAACCTACACTAAATGTAAGGGTGGTGGGGGAAGGAGGCAATACTGTAATGTTCTTGGGCACATGTTGATAACTTCACTTGAGCAATGTCAGGGCAAATGCATAAGTGGTGCCTCTTGTGAAATGAAAGATAAAACATTCAATTTGAGTAAAGGGACAGAGCCCTGGCCCTCTGTGAACCAATTTAGAAGATAAAGAGGAAAGTGAGAGCCAGACAAAACAGCTTTATCTGTAAGGATAGTTGATTTTAAAAATTAACAGCCATCATTGTGATTGTATCTTAGAAAGGTATCGACAAAGAATTTTACCTTCTCTTCAGTGTGTTTGATGAGAACCTCAGCTGGTATTTAAATGCAAACATAAAGTACTATTTGAGGATGGAAGAGACTTCTGTGAAAAAGGATGATGGCTTTGAGGAGTCAAACAGGATGCATGGTATGGCCTGATGGTGTTCTGTGGGCAGCGGGACTGAACCTGCAAAACGCGTCCTGGTGATCACGTTAAGTCAGAGCTGGGATGCTGGAGTGGTTGTGGGTTGTATTGGGCTGAAATTAAGTGAAGCTACAGAGCGGATGGGATGTTGGACAAGAAACAGGCTGTCTCAGGAAGCCTGTCCTGAGCGTATTCAGGGCCAAATTACAAGGAAGATGCTTTTCCACTGGCAGGCCTGCCCTGTCACAGTATATACACAGAATGAATCTCCAGGCTGATATCTACCTGCAGAGAGTAAATTGTTGTCTCCTTTGCAGCCATCAATGGATTTATGTTTGGTAACTTGCCTGGGCTGGATGTTTGTGAAGGAGACAATGTGTCCTGGCACCTTCTGGGCTTGGGCAGTGAAGCAGATGTACATGGAGCTGTGTTTCAGGGAAATACCCTGCAGATGAATGGGATGCGGAAGGATTCAACCAGCCTGTTCCCCCACACGTTTGCTACTGCCTTCATGCAACCTGATAACAAGGGTAAGTGTCTATGTATCGAACTTAGTGTCAGGAAAAGTCTCCAGTTGTGATATTTGCTCCTATGGCTGATTCATTAGCACGATGTGGACTTGTGTGTTCCAAGTGTTACAGGCTGAGCTGTGCTTTAGATCGGGTTTGGCCCCATTTACAGCCCCAAAACTCTTATCTTTGCATCTGCTTCTGGAGAAGAATGGGAGATACAGGATCTTGTCCTATATTGTCCCAGGCTGATTCTCTAGCCTGCTGCTTCTTCCTATTAAATATTTGTAGTAATAGCCCTGATGGACTTTGCCTGTTATCTATGGAAACATGCAAACGCATCTTTCAGAATCAAGTAGCAGAGATGTCAGTGCAGTTCTGCTGTCCATGGCTTGCAGAGGTTCACGTTGATTTCAGACCCTTGTCTTCCAGTTTGGGATTAAACACGCAAGGCCATGTCTCCTTCATGCAATGTGATGGCCTACTGCTGCTGCAGCCTGTCTCCTCCCCGTGACATTTGCAGGCTTGACTTCTTACTTAACCCTGTGATGGTAGCACAATTGTTACCTCATTTGTTTCTTTACATCTAATAAGCTGGTTATAGTGTGTGTAAAACAGCTTCCCAAGATGATTTTTGTGTAGGACTTTGTGCCATTCCTCACTGGTTTCTGTAACAACCCCTTTTAATCTCAGCCTATGGCAACCAGGCTCCCTACACAAACACTCCCTGTACACAGCTCACATACCGATCTCAGCCATCTCACAAGCCCTGCGTGGGAAGCAGCTGTTTCCTGGGATCTTTAAGAGGAGCTGTTTTCCTTGTTTGTGCTGCCTCCCTCAGGGGTTTTCGAGATCTACTGCCAGACGAGCAATCACTACCAGGCTGGGATGAGGGAACACTACTCCGTTTCCAAGTGTGGCAAGAGGGACCTGGCTCCTGCCCCTCCGTACAGGGGGGTGCGCACCTACTACATCGCGGCGCAGGAGCTGGAGTGGGACTACGCGCCCGACAGGAGCTGGGAGAGGGAGCGGCCACAGCCACTCCACGGAGAGGTACATCTCTTTCGGGGATGCCTTGGGCAAGGATTTTCGGCAGACCTTGGTAAAGTCTGTCAGGGCAACTTGGCCACGTGTGACATGGTGCACGTGCTGCTGCTGGGTGCTGATGGAGCTGCTGCCCTCAGCCTTTGCAGCTGCAGCAGGTCTCTGGGAAAACTCAGCTGGCAAAACTCCTGCCACAGGTTAGCTGTTTATTTCCCATGAGCATTTGAGTAACACGGCACTCGTTCTGCATTTCTCAGCTACGCCGATATATTTTTGAGCAACGAGAATGGGCTGCTTGGCTCCCGGTACAAGAAAGCAGTTTACAGGGAGTACACTGATGGGACTTTCAAGACTCCTAAGGCTAGGACGAATGGTGACGAACACCTGGGGATACTAGGTAAGGAAGTCGTGCAAGGGGTACATTTTCTGTTCACACAGCACTGGGACTTGGACTCCAGTGGTTAAGGGCTGTAATCTGAAGGCCTCCCACATACTCAGACATCTGCTGTGTGTGCAATGATGAGGAGAAATTCAGACTTGTCTGTTGTCCGGGCCTGCCAGCCATGGAGAAAGCAATAAAGAGGGTCCTGAGTACAGCTTGTCTTAGAAAGCTGGGTTCTTAAGCCTGCCTTTGCTGCCAGATTTCTTCCATGTCTCAAGCAAAGCATTTTTCACAACGCCATTTCTGTAGCTGTGAAGAAATAACTGCTGCCTTCTATAGAGCAGTCTGAGAGGTGTAGTTGAAAATCTGTAGCTGTGAAAAGAAGTGCATTTGGGATAAAAGCAGTCTGGCTTTGGGAAGTGGACAAGCACACTGCAACGTTGATGGAAGTCTATGGAGACACAGCTGTTTTATGAATCCAGGACTTTAAGTGGTGACAGAGCAGCAAAGTTGAGGCAGTGTGTCAGCTTGAAATAGGCTGCAAGCTCTGATTTGTGACACTGTTGAGCCAATTTGAATATTACTGGTCTTTTTTGAAACTAATGCCATGGGATGATAAAGATGTTGCAAACTTTAGTATAGTGCTATTCAGAAATTAAGGAAGAGGAGAGAGGGGAAGCATCATAAATATTGTAAAGGAGTATCTCTGGGGAGAAGAGAATGAAAAAGTGGTAAGAATATTCTTAGAAGATATACTGATAGTTTTTGCTATTGCATATTATTGCTATAGCATATTATTGCTGTCTCCAGGTCCTTTTCTGGCGGCAGAAGTGGGAGAGATTCTTAACGTTGTGTTCAAGAACAATGCCACACGACCCTACTCCATTCACGCACATGGGGTGCTGGAAAGGCAGACAGGGCAGCCACAAGTAGCAAACCCTGGTAAGTCACCATGTTCTCAAGCCTCATTCCTGTACAAACTTAGGAAGCTAACTTTAGCCTACAGCTAGACTTGTTTCTTTAAATAGGCTTAGAGATACTTGTTTTCTTCTGGTGGAGACCTGGAACTGAACAATAACTGCTCTTTCAGGTTCACTGTGCTTTCTGTGATCACCAATTGTGTGGGAAGCCCAGGAGAATTCATATTTCTGCTGTGACTTTGTGATAAGCATAGCACAGGTTTTCTGTACGGCCTTGTTCTTAATACTGAGCATGGTTTGTAAGAAGGAGAAAGGTGATCACTGCTCACAGCTTAGTCAGTCCTTGGTAGTAGCCCTGGGCTGATGAGCCATGATGTGGAAATCTGCTTCTTTTCCTTATGACCTGTGTGTTTTGTGATGTGCATGGTTGCTTGTCAGGATGCTGGCTGAGGTCACCAATTTCTTTTATGTTCCAGATGCGAATTTATGTAATTTTTTGGTCCCCTTCAACTTGCACGTTCTTCAGAGCAGGCTATGTCTCTGCAACAGACAGGCTTTCAGTTGGGCCCTGTCTTTCTGAAATGTATTACTAATAAGCAAAACAGTAATTTCAAAAAGGAATTTGAATGAGCATCATAAATATCCTTCAAAGAGATGAATGATCATCTCAAGCTCCATTGGTACTGAAGAGAGGCAGAACTCCCTTGGTCTGGTCTAGTTTCAAACATGGCAAATAAAACAGAATTGTGCCAATTCCTATTAGTGTGTGCCTCCTGTCACCCTTCTGCTTCATTTGTGAGAGGGGAGCTTCCATCCTGCTTCTCAGTGCCTGGGGATGGAAGACGAAACATCCAACATTAGAATTGTATTTACACTTCTGAGACAAGGTCATCTTTTCTTGTTCTGCTTTGCATGCTGCTCAGCAGCCTGGCAACTTGGTTTATCACATTGGTGTTAACGGTGCTTTTCTGTCTCTCAGGTGACATAGTGACATACCAATGGGAAATTCCTGAGAGGTCTGGTCCAGGCCCAAATGATTCAGCCTGTGTTCCTTGGATCTACTACTCCACGGTGGACCCAGTAAAGGTAAAACAGAAGAAGCTATAACCAGAAAAGCATGGTTAGACCAATTTTTTGTCCCCTCTAGAAAGCAATGTGAGTTGAATACAGTTTAGGGATTGGCCCAGCTGAGAGGTAGAAGAACCATCTAGTGATATGTCTAGCATTCTCCTGGGAGAGGGAATCCTCTGAGTTTGTTATGTTTGTCATTATTTTTTTCCTAACGCAAACCTGCATAAAGCAATTTGATGTCACCTTGAAACTAACCTTCCTTCAGTTTTTTTTTGCGGGATGTGGGAACATCTCCTAGTGAGTTCTGGCTTGTATTGGTGAGATCAACAGGGTTAATTTAGAAAGGCAGGAATTATCCAAATTTAGGCCATATGAGTAAAACAGGGAGATTTGAGCATTGCTAGGTTCTACTGACATAGCACTGATTTTACAGGGAAACAACCTGATGGATCCTGAAGTAAAGCATCACATTAAATCCAGAGATCATTGTCTTTTTATCTCAAGTTGCAGATGTTTTTGCAGCCACAGAATGAAGAGTATTTTGATATCATTCATGGTTATGGCTTTTTGCATTCATAAGAGCATGTATAGTCACTGCTCTTGTGCTCTGCTAGCTGATTTTCACCAGTGAGAGTACTTATGCAGTAGCACAGTTTATTTTAAGTGGGGTGATGCGGGGAACAGTGAACATGGTTGCTGAAGGGTAAAGAGCTGTGTACAAAAGTCAGGGTGAGAAGATCCTTGCCTCAGATTTTTATCCTTTGTTTGGATTAGGATATGTACAGTGGTCTGATTGGACCCCTGAAGGTCTGCCGGAAAGGGGCACTGCAAACTGACGGGCTCAGAAAGGATATAAAGAGGGAGTTTGCTCTGCTGTTCCTGGTTTTTGATGAAAATCAGTCCTGGTACTTGGAAGAGAATGTGCAACATTACAGTAAGGGAAATCACAAGGATATTAACCTACTGGATGAAAGATTTGTGGAAAGCAACAAAATGCACGGTAATGTTTATTAGGCACCTACGCACTAATTGCTGTCTATGTAAAGTTGAACTTGACTCTGTGACCTTCATAAGTTGTCAGAAAAGCCCAGAAAACAAGAGCCTGACTCAAAATAAATGCCCTCACTCTTTTCCCTCATTAGCAGCAAAAACATAATTAAATTCTGTATTTCTCAGTATTATAGCACATACACGACACAGATGTTTGATCTACAATGAAGGCTGATCATTATGGCTGTCCTCCTCAGGAGGAATAGCAAGACATGGGCCAGAGAGGTTAATATCTGATGTGTCTGAGTGACTCCAGAGAGGAAATAGTATTAAATGTGAAATTAATATGTCAGACTGATTTCATTCTGTTCATCTTAGGACCATAACAATATGTTAGGTTTCAAGTTAATTGACCAGGCTGTGTGGTTGCAATACACAGGCTAGTTCTTTTAGCTGATTTTCAAGAAAACTATTCCTACAATAGTAGAATGAACAGATTTCTCTAAATTCATGTTGTATTTGATTTTCCTACATATTATGTGTGGATCTACCTAAAATATGCTCTGCAAATGCCAAGGGGTTCATCTTGATGAGACGAGAATGACAGAGTTCCGTTATATGTGCTATTATTACTACTTATTTTGTGTAGGTGATACAAAGAATCCCAAATATTCATGTCCATTAAGTTATAATTGTCAACTCAATTATTATAGCTAGCAAAAGCAACACTGAAGCTGAATGCTTGTTTTGGGCTACAGAAAGTGCCTATGGCACACCTGGGAATTAAACACAGGTGTTCCTGTCCTCAGATCATGTCTCTTTCCATCTTTTTCCCTCTGTCATCTATGCATGGAAGTTTCGCTGTGTACTGTCTCATTCAACCCACTCACTGTTTTGGTTCCTTTCCTGCATTTGCAAAGCAGTATTCCTTCTTGCTGTGCTAATTATGAAATGAAGCTGTACTATGTAGTGATTTTTCAAATGATCAGCACATAGTGTGTGCAACCAGCATGAGATGTATATAATGACAGGGTTGCTTGTTGGCAGAAATTACCTGTTTTCATTGTTCAGTAAGCAAATGGTTCAGAGATTTATGTGTATATATGTATATACCTATATTTCCCTAGCACTAAGCCAAAGCTAGTTTACGCATCCAGACTTCTAGAAGCAACTACCCCTGCTGGCTGACTCCAGGTTTTCAGCAAGTAGCTTTTGAGACTTATTTGAGATGAGCTTACAGTATGGCTTTATATGCAAGTCATGTCTTCTGTTAACGGAGTGGATAAGTAGCTGAGCTGTAGAAAGACCGCCAAACTTCTTGGGAGACTGTCATATGGAAGACATGAGACACCAATGCAGTAGTTCCTCGATGAGCTTTGAAGCATCTAACTTGTCGAGCATGTTCTTCTTCTGAGATGGTTCAGCATCTTTACCATTTCAGTAACAGCCTTTTCTACTTTCTGCATGTGTTATTCACTGCACAGCGATCAATGGGAGGCTCTATGCAAACTTGCCTGGGCTGACCATGCTCCAAGGAGAGTGGGTGAACTGGTACCTGCTGGGAATGGGTCAGGAGATTGATGTCCACACAGTCCATTTTCATGCTGAGACCTTCATATACAAGGTAAGAATATCCTGTAGATAACGAAATGGGGACTGGCCACTGATATCATCACTTCTGTGTGACTCTGATTTGAACCTCTTGAATGATTTCACAGCACCTTCACCCAACTAGGAAAGGAATGGGGTTTTATACATCCAGATCCAACTGACTGAGCCTCTGTATTGTGCTGATATGTCTAGCTAAACCCTTCTCAGGATTAGGCATTACCAGGTTGTATTTGTTTTCACAGTTGCAGCCCTGGAGCTACTCTGTGAATCTTATGTAGAGCTTTTATAAACTGTAATAGGACTGACGTGATCTCTAGTGACCGACAGAATCCTTCATTACTAAAGAGACGTACAGAGCGCTGCATGCTGAGTCTCCTTTCCCTTTGACAGAATGGCAAAAGCTACAGAGCAGATGTCGTGGATCTGTTCCCTGGGACCTTTGAAATGGTGGAAATGTTGGCTGGGAACCCTGGGACATGGCTACTTCATTGTCATGTATCTGATCATATTCATGCTGGCATGGAGATACTCTTCGAAGTCTTGCCTAAACCAGGTTGGAAATATTGCTGTTTGTTACCGCGAAATGTGTGACAGCACTTTCCACTAATGCCACTAAATCCTGTGTTTGCATCATACTTAGCAACTCTTTTGTACCATAAACTGCCAGTTATTTGAGTGGATAATTGCTATTAAGTTAAGATATTCCGTTGGAATATGGTAACACCTTCAGCTGGAGTTAAACTCTGCAAACCAATTTGTTATTACTTTGCCTAGGGTGGTGTTATAAGTTTTATTTTAGCTTGAGTTTGGGAAGCAATGTTCAGCCATCAGCTAGCAACAGTTGTTATTAAGAATATTACATGTGATCTGAATGCATGTCCTAAGGCTGCTCATTTCAGCAGGAAACAGTGGAAGGTGTTCAAAGATGAGTGCCAGTTCTGGGTTTGGCTGCACTGGAGTTAATTTTCTTTGTAGCAACCTGTACTGCGCTGTTAGCAGAACAGCACTGATAACATACTGATGTCTAGCTGTTGGTGAGCAGTGCTTACACTGCTTCAAGGTCTTCTCTACTTCTCGGTAGCTTGGGGTGGGCAAGAGACTGGGAGAGGGCACAGCTGGGACAGCTGACCCAAATTGACCAAAGGGATATTCCAGGCTGTAGCACATCATGCTCAGTAATAAAACCGAGGGGAAGTTTTTCCAAAGTAGCCATTACCTAGGGTCTGGTTGGCCATTTGTCTGCTTGTGGGGAGTGATGGCTTTTGCACCACTTGCGGGGATTTTTTTGTTGTGTTTTGTTTGCTTTGTTTTGTTTTCCCTTTCACTTATTAAACTCTCTTTATCTTGACCTACAAGTTTGGTTTTTTTTACACTTTTGCTTTTCCAGTCCTCTCCCCCATCCTGCTGTGGGGGGACCAAACGACCCTGCTAGCCAGGATAAGCCCACACTTAAAGACACTGATTGTGCTTTTTTCTCAAAGGGTTGTGCAGTGGGAGGGAGTCTGCTCTTGAAGCAGGTAATGCAAAAACCTTCTTGGTGTGATGTGGAGAGGGAAAACATTGACAGGAGAAAAGGAAAACATACAAGCCTTGGAAAACCATGTTGCATCTGGATCTGATCCTTGCCAGAAGTGTCATGTTCTAGACTTGATTTGTTTGGCCCAACACTTTGTCACTCATTTTTTGTTTCCTTTCAGAGCCAGTGCTTCAAGTGCTAAACTACGATGAAGGTATAGTATACCTTGTATTGCTAAAAAGTGTGTGTGTGTGTGTGCGTGGCAAAGGAGGAAGAGAACTCTTGTCAGTGTTGAGATCTGGATTTGGAGGAGGAGGAGGGAGAAGCACAAGCACTATTTACAGCCTCTCCTCAGCCACGCTGGGCAGGGTGTTAGCCTGAGGCCTGGCTACTGATGGGTAACAGGGAGGTTCCAGGGGAATTTATTTATCTGTTCTCTAAATGTCTGTGCTCTGATGATAAAACTAAGACAGACTTGTTAGGCTTGTTTGACCTTGTTAGGTCAAAAAGTTTAGTGTCCTCACATCCTGCTGTGCTTCTGTGTATGGATTTATCATACAAGCAGAGATTCAAAGGGTCTTAAAGGAGAATGTTGCAAAGGAGATGATTTTTTCTTATGCTTTTCAATCAAAACTTATAGGGTGTCTTAGATTATTTCCTGGAGGTAGAAGTCTGAAGAGATCATAGTGGTGATTTCTTCCCGTGACTTTTCATCTCTCTCCACAAATGCTTCTTTTTTTTTTTTTTTTTTAACTGCTTTGAATAAATCCACCTGAGCTGATTTCAGAGCCAGCTTAGACCAGCTGAAAGCACAACCATCTATCTACAAGTCTTCAGTCCCTCTCCACTGATAGATCTGCCATGTTCTTCTCGGCAGTGTTTTCCTCACTCAAAATGAGTGTAAATAAGAGGAGTAGGAAATGTCACAGCAGTACTGACAATATTTAAATAATTTGGTTTTACACTCGAACATCTTCATGTGTGCTCATGAAGCAAAAACCTTGACTGACAGCTGTTATCCAGGCTGCCTTTCTCAAAAGGTTTCTGCTGCCTCACTGTGGAAGAGTAAGAACTCAGGATCTGAAGTGACTCACTGCTGGCGTGGCTGAGCAGGTGCATTCTGGAAAGTGGTGGCCTGGACAACTGCAGAAGCCGTGGGGGAGCTTGGAGCAGGGTGGGAAGCTCGCAGCAGCCTCAGTCTGGATGCATGTTTTCTTCTCAGTTCTTTTCCTAGCTCAGCCACTGACTCCTCACACAATCTTAGACCACCTCCTTTATAGTGGGTTTAGCAGTGGTTAGTTGATAGGGCTGAACAGCTCCTGAGGTGGAGTGAGTTAGGGAAAGAACCATTTATTCTCAAATTTGTGTGACCTGAGGGATGAGGGTCTGTTGGATGGACAGTGATTGGGTCTGCTTTGACTTCTTTTGATTGTGTTGCATCTTTCTTTAGCTTCTTTTCAGTTGTATTATTTCTGGTTCTCACTGGCACCATTCTCATTGGCATTCTCATCTCGTTTTGTTATTTCTCTCAGTGACACCACCGGAGAATGTGGATGAGTCCCAGAAGGTCAGGCTTTTTGGAGCAAAGTTGCCTGTAGGGCAGGTAGAAGCTGCAGTCATCTGTCTAGCTGTTGCAGGCTTGGTCCTCCTCCTGATTGCTGCTGTCCTCCTGGGAGTTGTCATCAACCTTGAGAGACAAAAGAAGCTAAGACGCAACAGGAGGTCTATCCTGGATGATGGATTCAAACTCATGTCTCAAAAGAATTCAGCGCTATAAAAGCTTTGTACAAACTCCTGGCTGTGTGCTTGGAGCAGAGACTGGATCATCGTCTACAGCAAAGATTTTGGGGCATCATTTCCATTGTACACTAGGCTTCTAGGAGCTAAGGAGGGAAAGCTGGCGCCCTGGCCTCTTTATCTTCCTCATCACTCTGCTCTGTAATGAAAATATCCGTCCAGGAGAGAACTGAGGACCCTTTCAATCAGCTCAAGACAAGCAACAGGAGTAAAAAGGTTCTTCTAAAACACTTATCCACAAGAAAGAGAGGAAATATTTCCCGTATTTTCTTCACTCCAGAACAACTCCACTTGGTCTTTCTCAGCAGAAGAGCTTAGTCTAGATTCCAGTATTGCTCCTTTGCCAAAGATGAGTCGGATATTGTCTCCCAACAGACCTGTGAGACTTTAAATTAATTAACCTGAAGGGGGAAAATAATCTGTGATTTTTTTTGTGAATCAAGTAAGAATGCAGAAGAGAAAATGTTAATTTAGAGTTGAATTGCTGGTTTTTGATGAGTAATTGGACAGATGTAAATTCAGAGCAGTGCACGTCAGTGTCTGCGAGCACTCCAGTGGGGAGCATGACAACAGCTGTGCCTCACCATCAGTCTCACTGATGCATCCTTGTGCTCTCAGTACCTTGGCGATGGGTTCTGGTACCAGGTGTCCTGTGTCTTGTGCTGGGAGATAAAGCTTCGCCAGTGCTGCAGAGCATCGTGGTGACCTTCCTGTGTTGCAGTTCTGCCAGTGAAGTGCTGCACCTCAGCATCTGTACAGCTCCTTGTGCAGCAGGAGCAAGAGTTCTGTGGTGTTCTGTGATGTGGTTTGTTTTCTCAAATACATTTTACTGAAATTATCTAAGGAGTTCAGCTGTTGCCAAGTTAATGCCATGAGCCGAGCTAAAGTCTTGTGTGATCTGCAGTTCGTGTTTGGGGCAGAAAAGTAGGAATGCTTCCCCCAAAGGTGAAGGACAGCAGTGGCATGCTGCTGCTGCTGGTCTCTGTGGGAGAGGGGCTGGGGGCTGGGGCTGGTGAGAGCCAGAGCGCTGCAGGGGGTGGCACAGCCCCCAGGAGCCCAGAGCTCCCCACTCATCGTGTCCTCCAGCTGCAGCCGTGCCCACGCACCGCAGGCGTGCTACCCTGCACATCAGGCACCAAGCAGTTCCTCGTGAAGTACCCATCTGCCTGCCTCTCCCCCTGAATCCCTGTCGTCTAAATGGGTGCGGGTTGGTGCTTACATATTTCTGTCCCTGGTTTTAAATTGGAAAGGGTAGAAAAGAAATCCTTCCTGTGTGGCTTTCAAAGGCAATTAAAGCAGAGCTAGCTAAATGGCTCTAATGACAAGAGACTGCTGTAGGCTCTTTAGGTGTATCAGCTCTGTTTTATTCAGAGCAATGGTTATAACGTGCTTAATCATGCTCAATTCATATTGCATCCCTGCGTATTTCCAGCTGCTCTTTACTTTGGCAAAGGGGGAGAAAGCTCATTAATTTCCTTTCATTACACTTCATTAAGAATGGTGAAGAGCTGGAGGGCTGTTGAATGCTCTGAACATGGGCACTCTGCTCATTGTCAGCCCTGGTTCAGCTGCTGCTGCAGACCAGAGGTCTTCAAGCTCCCCACTCCTAGGCAAATTTCAGAAGCTCACAGGTAAGAACTGGGCAGGAACCCTTTATTGCCCCCCTGCCTTCCACCTCTATCCCATCTTGTGAAAAAATAGATAAAATGTTCTCAGCCTACTCTGAGATAAAGGAGTTGTTTTAATGGCCGTTCACTTTCCTCAAGGAAAGCAGAAAAGAGCAAGTTCCCCTTTCCTCAGGCCTGCACCAGCGCCAGGCCACTAGGCTGGACAGCAGCAGGCCTGGGGGTCCCTGCTGGCTCTGAAGCCGGGAAGCGTGGGGACTGGGGCAGGATGTCTGGACTTGCACGTGCGTCCTGAACAGGGGCCTGTCAGAGCTTCTCCAGTGAACAGGGGGCTTTGGGCCTCGTGGACCACGAGTGACGGAGGTCTCTTCTCCAGCCTTGGCCGGTAGGGCGGGCTTGAGCCCACACCCTAGAGGGGGCCTCAGCTGCGTGGCTCTTCTGAAGAGGACTGTGTCCTCTGACAAGCAATTCCACCCCAGACTGAGAAAACTCAAGAGAAAGCTTGGACAAACACCATCATTTTGACAAAGCTTTTTGTTGAGGGACGGAGGGAGGAGAGGTCAGAACAAAACCTGATGTGATGAAGGACAGTTTATAAGCAGCTTCACAACTGCCCCTGATCGTAAGTTGGTTCTTCCAGCTGGTGGGAGGATGAGGAGGAGGAGAGATGTTTCACAGTTCTGGTGACTGTGAGCTGCAGCCCGTGAGCAAATGTTTGTTTGGCAGCAAGCCTTCTATCTGAGCACCCTACAGCATCTTGTTTATGCTTATCCCTGATGCCCATATGACTACCCAGGAGTCATCTTCTCTAGAAGACAGCGTGGAGGGCAGGAACAGAGTCTCAGCACTGTTGTTCCATGGAGAGACACTGGGATGACATTCCTCTTTTTCTCTACTTCTGCACAAGTTAACAAAACGTAACATTTAATGGGTTCTGAGCTCTTTAAGAATATGAGAGAAATGCTCTCTGTGGTTTTGTCTTTCCTTCCATGACTGTGCAGAGCATGTGTAGGTGACTCCACAAAGTGTTCTGGGTGTGAATGGTGGTTAAACCTGAAGGACCTGGCATGTCCTGCAGGTGTGGCCTTCCTAAAAATGGTGACAGAGTTGTAAGGCACCATTGCCCTGCAATAGTTCCCCTGCTGAGCTGAGGCAGTAATATTGGGGGCGCTCCCACTGCTTTTACCAGTGTAAAATAAACTAGCTAAGGAAAACTGTTCTGTAGTGGTTTGACATAAATCACAGAATGATAGGATGGTTGAGGTTGGAAGGGACCTCTGGGAATCATCTGGTCCATCCCCTGCTTAAGTAGGGCCACCTAGAGTTGGTTGCCCAGGGCCATGTCCAGGCAGGTGTTTAATGCCTCCACGGAGGGAGACTACACACACAGATTGAGATAATACACACGGAAAAGCATTAGAAGTGCTCATGTAATCTGTTACCTTGTGAGCACAGAACGAAATACTGTGCTTTAGGGAGCTTACTACAAACAGGCAGCAGCAACAACAACAAAAATAAAAAATAAATAAATAAACAAACAACCCCCCCATCATACCATTTTGCCAATATGAGAACAGTGCAGTTCTAGCTTCGTGAAAGAGCTGGTCTCAAGTTTTGTATGGGATAAGCATGAGAAGCAGTCGATATTGTATTCACTAACTAGTGCTTTTTGTCTGCAGCTCTAATATTACCCTTCCTAGGGTAATATTCCTAGGCCCCAGTTAGGCTTGATAAACTTTTCAGACATTTACGTGTATGACCACTCACCTGTTAAAGTCACTGACCCCCTTCCAGGCAGTCTTAGGTGACTGCAAAGCAGAGTTACTCATTTACATGGCAGCTGCTGGATGTTTGCAGGAGGGCTGAAATGAAAAGCCCTGTGTTAGTGCTGTCATCTTGCTCAGTAAGAGGCATAATCAACCCTATGGTACTTTAGTGGGAGGACAATTATTGCCGTGTTCCACATCAGTGCCAGGGCCGGTGTTCCAGCTGACTTTCCTTTATACTCCCACTTACACTACAAACATGAGAGATATGCAAGTCAAAGAGCAGAATACCTTTGGGATTTGCAAATGGAAATATTAAGTGCTGTCTTGATTTTTTTTTTTCTCAAAACACAGAAGTCAATGTCAAATTAACCTGTGACACACCGTAAAAAATAAGACTAACGGTGGTAATTGTCTGAGAAATATTTGAGTGTCTTTCAGTTGTAATGCAGTCTTTGGTTCTGAAATAAATAACATGTGGCTTAACATGCTGTTGCTTTGTAATATATAATCATCATGTGGACTGTTTGCAGTGGTTATAATTTTGTTGGCACAGCAAATTATAGGAGCAATTGTGAGCCTAGAGCTATGTGCGTATATAAAGCCTGGGGGAAGGAATTCAAGCACAGTAGCTGCCAAAAGAAAGCGATCTGCAAGATTATGATCAGAGGATGGATCTGAGTAAAGGTAAAAGCTGGCCTTCAGCTTATTCCTATTCAATCTTATAACTGCCAGCAGAGGATTTAACAAAACTATCTTCAAATTGCATTTTTAGTGTCATCTTCTCTTGTAACCACTTCTTAAATCTTCCCTTGTGCTTGTCTATTGCTCAGTGGGAAGTTCAAGAGCTGTAGTTACCTGTCCATGCAAATCCAGAGGAGGAAGAGTTCTAGAATAGCAATGCATTTGGATCAAAGACAGCACCTCCAGGAAAGCTTAGCTTGAAAAAGAAAATTCAGCAGCAAGGGAGGATGGCAGCTAGGATTGTTGGTTGAAAAGCAGAAGTAGAAGAAAGTGTTGACCAAAACCATCGTGATGGTGCCTTTCTTCTTTCAGCTGGTGCTCCCTTGAGTTTTTCTGGGCTCTACAATGTCCTCTTGGGGGACACCTGGCGAATGATGGTCTTGATGACGTGCAGCACCCATTGGCCTGGGGCGTGGGGGTTGCGGTCAGCCTGAGTGGGTGCAGCAGGCGCAGAGCTGCTGGAGGAGTGGGGCAAGGAGCTGCTGTGCTGCCCACCTCTCCTGCTGGCAGCCCTTCCAAGCTCTTCAGCTTCTCTGGAAAAGAGTTTCAGACCTCTCAGAAATGTTCAGTACCGTAAGTGTAGTCCTGGATGTCATCTTGGACACAGCCATGTGTGCATGGGGCTTGCCAAGGTTTGTGTCACTGATTGTGATGACTTGCACAGCTTTTGTTTTGGGAAGCATTCTGTACTCTATTGGCATAGAATTAAAACTCGATGCCTAAAGGAATATTAATTTCTTTAGTTTTTCAGATAATGTAATGTTGTATCTTTTCATTTTGTAGCGTGTGACCATTAAAAATAAACTGACCTGAACTGTGCTTTGTTTTGTTGTTGTTGTTGTTTGTTGTCATTTTTGAATTGCATAGCTCACTTTTTTTTTACATCAGGGAGTTTTTCCTCTCTGTTCCCATATTCATGCGGTCTTTTTTGGTACAAGCTGGGGCTAATCACCAGAATGTCCAGCTTTGGGTGATCTGTCTGTCCTTACTATAAGGAGGATACATTTTCTTGGATATAACCAGCAGGTTACACAGAGACTCCCCATACTTAAAAAAGCCTTTTGCTACAGACTGTAGGTGAAACTCATGTTTCTTATGGCTTTGCAAGAAATTTCATTGAACCAATCTCTTGCTGTGAACCAAGGTGCTATATGCAGAATGAAGCTGCCTGGGATCAGCTGAGAAGGCAGAACAAGCACACTAACACCGCGGTGAAGCAGGGAGATGCCATCAAAATGCATGGTAGGTCTTAAGTTTATTCTTCAGCTTCAGTGGAGAAGCTGGCTTTGAAAGAATGTGGTAGAGTCTGTGTGAGAACTGTGTGGAGGAGCACAATGTCCAAAGTGTCCAAAAAAGCACCTGAACTTGCTTGAACATGCACTTCTTCTTGCTAAATAGAGTTGCAGAAGGAAGAAGGGAGAAAAAGGGAGAAGCAATATGCGTACACAAGGTACCAAACTTGCCAAAGCAGCGGTCTCAGAAATGATGAATTTAGTCACAGACTATTCTGGCAGTGTGAGAACAGCAGGACTGGGCATGTGACTGATGAAACAGCTTTTACAGGGAATTAGCATTTGTGGTGTTAAAATTCAAATACAGCCTGTCTTGGAAATCAATTTGTTAATGTGTTCCTATTTTGGAGAAGGTAAATCTATTACTCAGCAGGTGTTCTTTATAAACCTCAAATCCTCTGGTGTTCTTGAGAGGTGGCTTTAATTCTGCATTCTTAATCCATGGGAAGGGAGAGAGAAAAAATGATCACCTGCTCTGTGGATAAGCCAGAAAGGAATAGTAAAGGAATAAGCCTAGTGGGAGAAGGTATGGGATGTTGGATAAGGGGCAGTTAAATGGCTTTGATGTTGCTGCTGGCAGCGTGCCTGATGGGCACAGGAAAGAACAGTTTTCAAGTTATTCAGCATCATCAAGAATAACAGAAAATGCATCTCTACCAGTACAGAAGACCATTGATGTAGCAGGAAGTTTTGGAATCTGTAATAAGGAGCTTCCAGAACAGCCTGCCTGTGGCACTTTCCTATCCCTATTTTTCATATTTAGGGCTCATTTTATTCAAACAAAAGCTTGCATTTTGGGGGTAAGCACAGAGCAGCTGCCTGTTTTTGGTCAGACTGGTTTGTTCCAAGAAAAAAAAAAAAAAAAGCAGCTAACAAGGTCAGGATGCTGGCAGAGTGTGGGGCATCCACCTCCCTCTGTGCTCCTTCGCGGGGGCAGCAGCAGTGCTGCGTGAAGGGGCTGCCTGCCTGGGGCTGCCTGCCCGGGGCCACCGGCGCCTTGGCTCTGCTCAGAGCAAGGTGTAGAAAGGGCCCATGTCATACACCGCCACGCTGGAGGGGCCGCTGGCATGTCCCCTCTGGTAGCTTCATCTCTGGTGTGTACAGGTCAGCTGTTCTGCAGATCTCAGCTATTGCCATGGCTGGAAGATGGGTGGCTGAATGATTTAGAGTTAAATTTGAGTTTTCAGTTCAAACATTAATGTGTTGAACAAGACTAAACAGACTAAAGACTCTGAATTTGTTAAAAAACAAAACCACATAAAGTGTAATAGTGACATGGGTTTTAAAAATGTGTGACTTGTTAGCTGGATTACACCTCACTGAAAGCACCGCAGTGCTGGCTCATCCAGAGCAACTCATTTGTGGTGCATTGCACTGAAATATTTGTCAATCTCCTTTCGTCAATACTTTGTGAACAGACAATAATTAGGTTACGACTGGCACATGACCCCAGAAAGCTGCCCTTCTGCTGCTTCTTCCCACTGCAAAAGAAATAATCCTTTGGAGGATAGATCTTTATTATCGTTGTTGTTGTTATTATTATTATTATTTATTTATTTATTTTATTTTCATCTGCAATTTGTCCTAAACATTCAACATTGTATCTGTAAATGAATATACAGATGCCTACGAATACACATTTTTCAGCAGCCCATTCAACATTTGCACAGCATATGTTATTAAAGCAGTTGTGTAGCCACACAGGGGGATTCTCATCGTCCTCTGAGTTTCTGCCAGCCCCATGTCCGCCGGGGGATCTCCCACCCTGCATGAGGACTGTACAGTTTTCTTATGAAAAGGTCCCAACTTCTGTCTTGCCATGCTGTTACAAAAGCAGCTGTGTGTAAAGCTGAAAAATGGTGACCATTGACCATTATCTGTTTCTTGGGACATGCCAAAATTTTAAGTTGTAATCCCTTTGCTTCACCCCCCCCCCAAAAAAAAAAAAAAAAAAGAAAGTTTTTGCTTCAATAAAACTGAAACATGCATTTCAGTTCTGATTTCTGAAAAAAAAAAAAGATAATTTTATGTCACAACCATCAAATCTCTTTCAAGAGCTGTTCACAATAGGAAATAGAAATGATTCCTTCAGTTTCCAAAGATGTTTTGATGCTACCAGAATGTTTAAGTTATTTTTTACAAGGTATAACTGAAACTGTCTTTTTCAACAAACGGTATCATACAGTCTTGATGCAAGTTCTTTGCACCATCTCTTACTCCTTTGCGTTTAAGGAGATTTACCCAATCCCTCCTGTCATCTGTGACTTACAGAGTAAGCGTGTCTGTTATTATAAAATGCCAGCAATCTGAATAGCTAAGATTACAAAGGAACAAATGCCTGACTTGCTCGAGGTCAAAGAGGCAGTGAACTCGTCAGGCCAGGACTAGAACCCACAGTGACTTGGAGTTGGTCCTTTTTCTGCAGCCATTGGTAGTGAATCAAGACAGCCTTCCGAAAAGTGCCAAGGAACATCCTGAAGTTTTAGCACAACAGCTTCCACTTTCTCCTGAGCCCAAACCTCCTCTGGCTTCTACAGGCCTCCTTGTCCTATAGTCCGTCTAAAGACTTGGCTGCAAGCTTTTTAATGGAATAGTTCATAGCTCTTGTTTTTCTCTCTGCAAACTTTAGAGATCCTCAGCTTGCAGGTGTTTTGTGAGTCAGGCTGGAAGAACCAGCCAGGATCCCTTGGCGATGCTAATGGCCAGCCTGAGCAGCCCAGCGTGTGACGAGATGCCTCCAGCTATTGGAATTGTGGCTCTGATGCTTTCGATGCCATTGCAGATGCATAGCTCAGAAATGGCTTCCTCATGGGTGCTCTTTTCCTGGGATGAATGGGTTCCACAGGCTGGAGGGTTCAGTGTGAAATTGCAAATTGTAGATGTAATAAATATCAGGTTTTACTGTTGTTTTATAAGCAGCCCTCTGGGAAATCTGCTGCTGGTGTCACGGCTGAGTTATGTGATTTCCCTCGGGTGAAGCTGTACAAAGGTTTGATAAAACTGATTGCCATGTTTCATTAGCCAACACATTCCCAGAAGGCCCATCATCCATCATACCATCCAATCATTGTCAGCAATGATTCAGGATGTGAGACGCGGCTGCAGATTTCACCTATTTGAGAAACTCAGATAAATCACTGTGAAGGTAAGTCACCGTGTTCAGAACTGTGTTAGAAAACTGCAGACTGTTTACAAAGCTCACATTAGAATTAGAGGGTTTGTGGGGAAAGGAGTCTTGAATTATTCAGCTCAGCCAAGGTAATACAATGGGTGGAAACATTCAAGGGCACCAGTTGAGATAAAATAATAGTTAATGCCTACATACCATAGCCTAAGGCACTATAAGGAAGCAGTCATCATTTTGAGAGCTTACAGAAGGCTTCAGGTATGAATTGCTACTAGCTATATGATTTTCTAAGAATTTAAATAGAAATAGGTGATGTTGGCTTTTCAGTTACACACAGGAATTTCATCCTTAATTCCAAATTTTTCAAAATTCCATTTTGCCCAAATAGAACCTGAGCAAACCAAACACCTTCTCAGATTTTGCCCGTCTTTAATCAGTCTTGCAAACAGTTCAGCAATAATCTAATGCCCATATCCTGATCCGTACAACCACTTCAATAGGTCTGTGGTCTCTGTCAGCTCTCTAGCTATGCAAAGATGCTGTACTATGGCTTTCTTATTAATCCTTTTCTTTAGGCTGCTTTCCACTGCTTTATTTATCTGACTCTCCAACCCGTGCATTGTGCCAGCACTGCTTCATGAGTGCAGCTGTTTGTTGGGTCCATCCCTGCATACTCACCAGGACTCATTTCACTGACCGCTGCTCCTAGGGTATCCTGCTTCTCTAGTCCTCCCTCCCTCTCCTTCTCCCTGTTCTCCACCTTGAACTGTCCCTTTGGGTGATTTGTAATGTCAAGCTTTAACGCCTCTTCTTTCTAAACTGTGAATCTTAGAAAAATGGTATATTTGTTTTAAAGGTGTGTTGCCATGACAATGCCGCATCTGGGTCTTGTAAGTATTTGGGAAGTGTATGTTATTATCAGGGGAAAATGAGGCTGACCTCAGTTATGTGTTAGGTGCCTGTCATAACTAGACACCCTCATATAACTGAGAGGGTTTGCAGTGAGTGGCGTGGGATGATGCTTGGATGGAACAGGCCATGCTCGTGTGCTGCTGTGGTGTCCAGGAACTGGTTAAAGCACATGTCCAGAGGAATCAGGATCACTGATTTATGCCATGAATACTGCCAACTCTGGAGAAACCAACTAAATTATGAAAAAGTACAAGCCTCTCTTTCCGACCACCTTCTACTGAGTTTTCTACTGAATTTTTTGGCTCAGTGTCCGGCCTTTTTTGGAAGTTGGCACCTGCAGTGTGAACAGAAGGGGGCAGTTTCCTGGGAAATGCACCTTGCCCAGCATCCTGCTTGCCTCCCCTGACGTTTCTTCTGCAGAGAGCATGCCCCTCCAGCTTCTCTCAGGCACACAGACCCTCCAGGGACACCGTCCCTCGCACACCCCA